AAAATAGATATTTAAAAAAAATACACATAAAATTGCACAATGCATTATGTCTAACTACTTCACCATGTCTAGTTATTTAGTTTATCATTGCTAGATGCTAACTTCTTGCACCAAGCAATTTCTTACAGTGACTTACTTGTTTTTTGAAGTAGCCGATAGCATATTCATCTGCATACGTGAGAAAGTTGAGGATGTTGTGTTTGATGTGATACTCCTTCAGATGGTTCATTAGGTGAGTCCCATAACCCTGTGTGAAACATGGGAGGAAAAAAGCCATTACAAAGTCTTTGGGAACTGCACATATTAGAAACTGTGGACTAAGGGTTATGACAGACTGTTTTTCAAAAGGCCATTTTTCCTGTAGATCCCATTTTAAAGATTTTCCCATAAGTAACTTGGTGAGGTGTACTCAAAATCAAACTGTTTTCAGCCTTGTAAGGGTATCTTTATGACCCAACAGGGAACATAAAATATCACAGCTTCCAGTGTCTGATTCACTTTTAATCTAAAGGAGATCAAAACCTACACTCTGTCTAGGGGTAAAGTATGGCTTTAAAGAGGTACATAAGCTGCAAGTTGTAATTCAAGGTGCACACATTATTTTTTTCCTTTTAAGTTAATATCAACTATTAATAGTCACATGATTCACCAATAACAAAATTACATACATGGGCATCTTTTCTTAGCCATAATGCTTCAAAACTGCAAAGCAGGAATATTGAAATTACTCCTTCTAGAGGCACCCATTCTGAGACAAGATCTCTGTTTTGCTGTGTTCTGTGCACCTGTAGCAGAAACTGCCTCAAAAGGCTCATAATCTGAACTTATCATAGGGCATAAAAGGGAATAGTGAAACAGTTATTACCATAATAAGCAGCAGAAAATTATTGAGTCCACAGTCAAATAATAGCTATGGCTTCTGACTGCACACAGGAATAATTTCCATTTTCATTCAACCCCAAAGTAATCAAAAGGTTCCATTTATTCACATTTCCAAGTAAGCTAGTCTTCCCTTTCTGCTGTGAGATGGAGAAATGTAAAATAGACAGCAAAGCCCATAATAATGTGTTGTTCCTGCATATATTACGGTTTTAACATCATGGAGACTAACTGGACACTTACTGAAATACAGATGGAATTGGTTTTGGTACTCTGTTCTTGAAAACTAGAGACATTTTTACTTATGTACTCAAGCCAGAAAAATACATTACAAAGTATATACTTCTGATTGAATTTATAACTTAATAGCTCCAAACATGGAAATAGCCAGCTAAAAGCAAGTTAGGTAAGTGCTGAAGCTCAATTCAAAAAATCTAGTAGTGACACAATGTTTTTAAATTCCTACTAATCTAGGAACAAAACCTGTGCATTTTTCCTTTATTTCCAGCTACTATTTGCAGCATCTGGTATTCAGACCTTCTATTTAAAATTGGGACCTCATACCTGTAAAAATAAGTACTTCTGAATTTGAGGAAGCTGTATGTTCGCTTGTTAAAGTGGCACACATCATGCATGGCATCAGCTGTCAAAATGCTGCTTTGTATTTGATACCACTTGAAGTGGTACAGCACTACTTGGAACTCAGAGGTGCTCAAGATAACCAAGAGACTTTCCGATTGCAAATATTAATTCTCAAATTCTTTCAAGAGGACAAAAACTCTGAATCAAAATTTTTAATGAAAAATGTTTTCCTTAAATGCAAGCTAGCAGTACATGAGCTAGCCACGCTCCTCACGTGCCTGCTCATCAGCAGGGTGGAAGGAACAGCGTATGAGATACTGACCTGAAACACTGCAATTCATTCCAGTAATTTTAAAGCATCTAATCTCTGACAAAACAGAAAAAGTCACCTTTGTGCCTCAAAGAAATTCCAGAAATCATGATGACAATTGCTTCAAAAGTGCTGCTGCCCTATTATTTTTTATAACTTTCACAGGATTTATTGATTCTCACAAACACTTGCCAAAGTGTAACATTCCTAAAAGGAAACTAAGCTGTGTGCAGTAAAATTTAAAATAACTTTGTAACATGGGATGAAACTGCCTCAAAACCAGTCCAACATTTCAATATCACATATAAAGGAAAATTATCCATATTCCTCATTCAAACCTCAAACTGAATTAAAACAGGAATTTATTTTTCCCAAGAGCAGGCAGTTCACCCGTGTGTGAATATTTATTTAGCTTTTCTCAATTACCTGTTGGTAGGGGTCACCCTACTCAGGAATGTGGGAAGGCAGATTTTCAGAAACAGTCAATGATACAGCAAGACACCCAGATGGGAACAGAATAAAACACGCATATGCAAGCTAGGAGGCACTCTGATGGGTCAGATTTATTTGCTTTATCATATTCTTCCTAGAGAATCACAACACACCTTTGGCAGCCTGACTTGAGTAGTGCAGTTGGTTGTTTCAATAGAACAAAAACACCTTTTATGAATTAGTCAAGCTTAGAATAGACATGATAAGCATATTCTATTATTGTTTGCATTTGCTAAGACACTTTGGATACTTTTATGACAAGCCACTGCTAAATTTAGGGAACCATTCCTCTCTTAACACCAGAGTTGACTAAAATCAATTATAACCCAGATATTAACAGTTGTCACAGGCTTTCAATCCCACTGTGTGACCCTTGCACACCCAGAGCTCTTCCCTTCAAAACAGGTCACAAAATTTTTGCATATTCAACTGCTACAAACCCTGAATTAACCCACATCTCAGCTCTGAGGAGTTTCAACTGAAAAACATGAAGCTACAGCACCATCTAAAGGCAAATTCCTGAAACATATGGTCATAGTTGGATATACCTGTAGTCCCCTGGGAAAGCAGGGGAATCTCCTGCATTCAGAGTGCTCTCTATTCTTTCAGTATAGCCAGCAATTCTCAACACTCAGAGAACATTTGGTGAAGTTAACTCAAAAAGAATGAATACAGTAGACCATATGCTTATATTCAGATGCAAAACAATAACTAATGTTTTTGATATTTCTCCTTTTCATTGAAGTCATACAATGCCACAAAGTGACTGAACACAACCTATTGTCACACACAAACAGTACTTAATTCAGTCTACCATGAGGTGTTACACTACACAGGCAATTGCTGGAGACTGAGAATGGGAGGCTACTAGCCAGCAATCGGTGTTGACGACGATTTTATCTAATTAATTACAAGTAATCCTACTATGATGCTATGATTCTAAATCTGCACATTTGTTTAGGTTTTGTGCATTATATTCAGAATTACTACTCCATTTCTGTTTGGCAACACAATAATATATTCAACGTGACTAACAAAATTAGAAGCATATGCTGTAGCAAATGGGACTCAAATACATTTCATAAACATTTACCTTCACTTGTTCATTAGAAGTCACAGCACAGAAAACAATCTCCGTAAATCCTTGGGAAGGGAACATGCGGAAGCAGATACCACCGATAACACGACCATCTTTTATTAATGCAAGGGTCTTGTGTTTCCTTAGTAGACAAAAATAACAGTAACTTTAATTCATGTACATACTACATAAAGTGCCACTACCCTCTTCTTTTTGGTTTTGAATTTTGCTTGGGTTTTCTTCAGAAACTTAATTCACTTCTTTCCATGATGCTAATGCAATTGTATATGCTTCTGTTCAGTTAGCTGCTTGTATTTACAGAATAATTGTTATTTTAACAACATGCTTTGAATTTACCATAAAACTCATCATTCATGCAGCATGGTCCTGCCTTGCCAAGTACTCCTGGATACTAGGGTAATGCCCAATAAATAAGAGTTGTGTTGCTTTCACTGAATATATTGCTGACAGTTCACGATTATACATTTCTCAGCATGATTTTGCCCTGACTAAATTAGAAATTAATGGAGTTACAGGACAGCAAGTCCTTTCTAAGGGGTTCCTGTTTCCTTGCATGCACTCTCTACAGCTATGCTATCAGTTTCAAATGAAGCAGATGAAGTAAGAAATGCTATTTCTTATTTCTAATCACCTACTCCCAGGGGAATCAAGATGATAATAAATATCCATTTCTGTTGCACTTACATTGACTGCCAGGAAATACATGGTGCAATATGAACTCTTGTGTCACGGATTAAGAATTTTAGTGTAATCCTCAAGGTCTGGAAAGATTTACCCTGCACCTGTTATCTAGGTTATTCAATACACAGTATCATATAAACTGTATAAACAATACAGTAAATTACAGAAGGTATCTTCTTTGGGGGAAAGGTTGGTGCCAAAAATGAGCCCTTGCCAAAACAAACAAGTAGTCTGTACACTACTTATATTTTATGTGCCACTGTGGAAGGAGATTTTATACATTTTATATATTCTTCTATTTTTTTGCACTTATTTTGGTGCTTCATATTTGTGGAATGACATGAACAATGTAGGACCTTGAGCTTTTCATTCGTTTACTCATGTTTGAATTATTTAAGCAGCAAGATCCAGTAAGGATGGCCATTTCAGAAGTAAGAATATTAAAGGCGATAATAACTAAGGTAATAGCTGAAAGGAATTTGGGAAGAGAACTGTTGGATTCCGGTGTATCTCACACTTGACACAGGTTTGTGTGTACCCACTACTCAGAGCAGGTCTCCAGTGTGAGTCCCTGGAGATTCATGGCAGATGGATCCAGAAATGTTTTCACAACCACTACAGCGATAGTGCCGGGCACAAAGACAAAGGCTGGTAATGCCTGCGGTGGAGAAAGGCTCTTCCACAAACCAGGCTGCGTATTTGGCTGCCATCAGCTCCGTCATTGCTCCTCAAGGTCTCTGCTGACACACAATGAGCTAACAGGCATCCTCCACTGGGAAGTGCTGTGATCAGTACAGCAAACCCCTGGGCTATTATTGGGCATCAATTGTTCAGAGGCAGAAATTTTGGGAGAACAAACTGCTCGAAAGGAAGCAGAGTCTGCAGGAAACAAAATGGTGGAAAAGTGGATGCTTCTGAGGAGGGCCTCCCTTGATGCTTGAGCAGCTGAGTCACAATTCAGTCAGGACGCTAGGGTATGTGGAGGACTATTTGCAGCCTCTGGATGCTGCTACGGCCAATGTGTCTCTTATCAAGTGCCTGTGGTGTATCAGTTGCACCCAAAGCAAGACAGGAAACTTGCACTGCTAAAGGGAAAAGCAACGTGCTTGGGTGAGAAGTGCTACCTCCTATGCTGACTTAAATGCTGCTGTTCTTCATAAATCCCACAAGTTCCCACTGAAAAACTTCAGTCTGCTGCCATTTGGCTCACAATCTCCACAGAGGATGGAGCAGCCAGCGGGTTAGTTTGGGCCTGGAAACCACCAACAAGCACTGTAATTACTTTCTGACTTTCAGTTCTGACATTTGAAAGTACAAGACAGGTAGGAGCCTTCCACACAGGCCCACATCACTGTTTTGGGTTCGTATGGCAAGGTTTTGGTAGCGAGGGGGCTATACGAGTGGCTTCTGTGAGAAGCTGCTAGAAGCTTACCCTACGTCTGGTAGAGCCAGTGCCAGCCAGCACCGAGACTGCCCCAAGGCTGAGCCCATCAGCAACAGCAGTAGCACCTCTGGGATAACATGGTTAAGAAGGGGGAAAATTTACTGGACAGGAGCAATTGCAGCCAGAGAGTGAGAATATGTGAGAGGAACAACTCTGGAGACACCAAGGTCAGTGAGGAAGGAGGGAGAAGAGATGTTCCAGGTGCTGGAGCAGAGATTCTCCCGCAGACCAAGGTGAGGCAGGCTGTGCCCTGCAGCCCATGGAGGTCCACGGTGGAACAGATATCCACCTGCAGCCCATGGAGCTCCACGGTGGACAGGAGGATGCCTGAAGGAGGCTGTGACCCTGGGGGAAGCCTGTGCAGCCTCCTGACAGGACCTGTGGCCCCATGGAAAGAGAAGCCCATGCTGGAGCAGGTTTGCTGGCAGGACTGGTGACCCAGAAGGGAACCCACACTGGAGCAGCCTGTTCCTGAGGGACTGCAGCCCATGGGAAGGACCTACAGTCCTTCCTATCTCCTGTGGGAGGGACACCACACTGGAGCAGGGGAAGAGTGTGAGAAGTCCTCTCGCCAAGGAGGAAGAAGCAGCAGAGACAACGTGATCAACTCACCACAACCTCCATATCCCTGCACCGCTGGAAGCGAGGTAAAATTAAGTCCAAGAAGAAGGGAGGGGTGAGAAGAGGAAGGTGTTTTAAGATTTTATTTTCTCAGTATCCTAATCTGATTTGATTGGTAATAAATTAAATTAATTTTCCCCAAGTTGAGTCTGTTTTGCTAGTGACAGTAATTGGTAAGTGATCTTCCTGTCCTTCAACTGACCCACACGCCATTTGTTGTACTTTCTCTTCCCTCTCCAGCTGAGGAGGGGGAGTGATAGAGCTTTGGTGCATACTTGGCATCCAGCCAGGGTCAATCCACCACAGTCCCACAACAAGAAGCCACTTGCCAATACAGCCACCGAGGTAGTATTTGGGCACAATCCAGCTAGATTCGCTAGGATTTACAGGGGTTTGACAGATAGGAAAAGGGTCGCACAGGCACAGCTGCCCTCCATACCACTTCAGCTGGTCTTTTCTTACACTGCTATCTGCAACCAGCACCAGGCTTTCCACTGCACCCACCAAAGGCCTCTCCAGTGGTACTCACGGATCAAAGACCAAGCGCGTGATGTACTCCTTCGGCATTCGAGGCAGCTGATGGGAGAACACGTTCTGCAAACCAACCAGCCACATCATGATCTTCTTGTTGGGCTTCTGGTTCAAGGAGTTGCCGACCACATGGAATTCGATCACCCCCCTGCGCTCCTCCAGCCTTGCTGCCTCATCCCGGGCTGAGTGCGCCGAGAGGAAGTTGGTCTGTACCGCACAAAAGAGAAATAAAATCACATTTTGGAGATTCCATCCTCTGACAGAACAGCCTTGATGAACAAACAAATTAAATCCCCTCTTTTTTTCCAAGCCAACTTTTTATAAAAATAGAACTGTCAATGATTACCTTTTCATAGCACAAATAAGCTGGATATACATCTACACCACAGTGTACAAAGGCTATTCAAACTTACCTAAAGATTAGGTAACAACAGTTATGATTATGACTCAAGTTCCAAAATCTTTCAAGGATCAGCATTAATCCAGTTGAAGGCTATGCCACTAAGTCTTCGTATTTCCTTTAGTCTAGCCACTTGGACAATAGTGGATTTGCCTACACATACTGCAAATCCCAGATTTTAATGGCAGTACAAGCAAAATTATATTTTTGCATTGTAGTAGTGTTTTCCACTATCTGTGCCACTATCGTAAGAGCCTAAAAAGAACATTTTAATTCCTACTCATTTTGCTGTTACATATCTAGCAATTGCATCCATATATTTGAATGGAGATGAAAGTAATACAGACGATTTATTTAACTTTTTTTTTTCCAAGATCATTTTACAATGCCAAAACATCTCTGCATGCACATACTGTTTACTTTTTAGAGCAAAGTTTGGCTGCTGCATTTCTAGTCACTGCCAGCCCCAACAGCCAGACTGGCACAGCATTTGTAATATGCAGAGACATCAGTCACAGTATATAGTTTGAGTAAGAAATGTAGGTGGTTCCAAATCTTCAGCAGTCTCTAGCTAAACCTTGGCAAACAAGAGATGCTGGCAAAACACAGCCTGGGAAAGGGAACAGAAGGAGGAAAAGCCAGCCAAAAAAAAAAAAAGAAGTGCAATTCTGTACATGGCACAATTCTGCAATTCTGTTTGTTTTTCTCCTCCAGTAGGAAAAAAAGAGCAACTGTGGAAGACAGAGCAAATAACTGTTTAGATCAGCCTTTCTGCAGTTTTGCAGAGGTTTTGACTTTAGATCTTCATTCTCCTGCAGTATTTGAACCCCATGTACCTTGCCTTATGAGCTACGCGTACAGTTAACAATAAAAAGCGTTTTCTGGAACTGTTCTGTAACGAAAGTACCTTGCAAAATAAGCCAGGATCTACTTTTTTACTATCACTAGTTTTCAACTCTCTTTGCAAATCGTATACAATGTATTAAAAGCAAAGCAGAGCATTTTATCAGTAGTTTTGG